AAGTTTCCAGCTGATTATCCTCAGGTGGAGTCTCCCACCTGCTCTGGGCTGCATTTCCAACCTGACCCCGAGGTGACCCGGCCCTGACGTGTCAGAGACCAGTTCAGAGCCAGCTCAGCACCACCCGTGTGACACAACAACGCTGCTGCCACCCACTGAGAAGTGGCTCTTTACACCCCAAAGCAGCAAATCATCATTTCTGTTCAATACTGAGGCTTGTGAGAAAACACAGAGTCTGTTCTGTGTGGAAATCAGGAGTGTGACTGGCCGAGGGCAACGTGGATAAATCTGAATTTCCCAACAGAAAAAAAATCCGAATTTCCCTGTTTTTTTATTTCCTGATTAAACCCTGCACCTTTGCCTAAACTGCTGCATTCCAGCTGGGCCAGGAGGAGCCCAGCCCTCCTGGGGGGGGCTGTGTTACCATTCAGCAATGCTCCTGTGGGTCCGGGACACCGAGGTCTCGATGTCGATGGGGTGGTAGCGCAGCCCCCGCAGCTCCAGGGTCTCATCCAGGGCTCCCACCACGTACAGGGCGTCGTGGCGCTCTGGGGAGAGAGGGAAAACAGCTGGAAGGGCTGGAATTCAGGTACAACAGAGTGTCTGCTACAGGCCAAAGAATCATGGAATGGTTTGGGTGGGAAGGGGCCTTAAAGATCATCCAGTTCCACCCCCCTGCCATGGGCAGGGACACCTTCCACGAGACCAGGTTGCTCCAACCCAGCCTGGGACACTTCCAGGGATGGAGCATCCTCTGGGAAATGCATTCCAGGGCCTCACCTACCCTCAGAGAGAGGAATTTCTTCCCAAAATCCCATCTAAAATCTGCTGGCGGTTTGAAGCCATTCCCCCCTGTCCTGGCACTCCTTTGGAAATAGTCTCTCTGCACCTTTCCTGCAGGTTCCCTTCAGGTCCTGGGAGGCCACAATGAGGTCACCCCAAAGCCTTCCCTTCTCCAGGCTGAACAATCCCAGCTGTCCAGCCTTTCCCCCCTGGCAGAGCTGCTCCATCCCTCTGATCATCCTTGGTGCCTCTGCACTCACTCCAGCAGCTCCACAGCCCTCCCTGTGCTGTTCCCCTGCTGGAGGCAGCTCTGCAGGGGGGTCTCACCAGAGGGGCAGAATCCCCCAGCACAGGAGGGGTCTCTGGGCCATGTCCAGCCTCTCCCCACATCCTTCTCCCTCAGCTCATCCCCACCCTGCCCCGACACCGGCGGTCGCCCCGACAGCTGCGCCAGCACTCGTCCTACTAAACACCCCCCCGAGCTCCCTGAGGGCCACTTCTCGAGCTCCTCCAGGCCCCTCTGGATGGCCCTGTCCTGGAGATGTGTCACCCCGAGCCCCCCAAGGGCCTGCCCACCTCCGCTGGCCGCCGTGAGCTCGGTGCGCCGCACGAAGCCCAGGTAACCGGTGCGGGCCCAGAGCGTCTGCGCCGCGTCGCCGAAGCTCAGGCGGGTGTTGAAGTGGTCGGCCTGGAGGGTCTCGTT